GAGAGAGAGAGAGAGAGAGAGAGAGAGAGAGAGAGAGAGAGAGAGAGAAAGAGAGAGAGAGAGAAAGAGATAAATGAGAAAAAGCAGTTTTTAGAATTATATTAAAATGTTTGGAGCAGTTGATCTTGAACTGACTGTCTTTGCTCTGTTTATTAAGGATATAGAAATAGCTTTATTTATGTACCTTGTAGAGTGCCTCTCTGAATTCCCTTGGGAATCATGTGTTTGCTTCCCTTTTGTGCAGAGGTTATAGAATGAGTAATAAATAATTTTGAATCCTTGTCATTGCTAATTACTTTTGACATACACAGTAGACTTGGGAAAATACCAACAAAGATGTGGCAGTCATCATCATAAGATTTACAAAACAAATTCCTCAGAGCAAGATTAATCCCAGTGTTTAGAAACCTTGTGGTTAGCTTTAATGATTTTTAAAACTTAAATAAAATTTGTATATCCTCTGATGTTTTGTTTTTTGTTTTTCAAGTAAACAAATGAATGTTTTTATTGAGAGGGTTTTTTTTTCTTTTGTAGTCTTTTTAAAGTGGTATCTTGCTGGTAGTAAATTCCTGTGCTTAAAACTTTAAAATAGCCTTTTTTAATAGGAAGGGTATTGTATTAGAGGTCAAGGGTTTTGACCCATTTCAACACCTTTGACCTTCATTTACAACTCTCATGGTTTCCTTGCCTAACAAATAAGGATAATACAAAATTAATGTTTCTTTGCATTGATTTATTTATTTTAGTGCCTATGTTGCCAAATTTATTCAGACTGTGCTGATGGACATTTCATGAATACAAATTAAAGAATCATAGAAGGTGTTAAAAATCAATACTATGTGTTATCAATACAGTGCAATAAGAATAATTACTCCTAGAGAGTATAGCTAATGGAATTTTATAATGAACTTCAAAGGAGCAGTTACATTTCTTAAAGGGCTTATTATTCTTTGATATTTATGTATATTCTTTTTTTAAAATTTAACTATTTTGTTTAAAATACTACTTTCCAAAAATCTCCCTTGCTGAAATTTCTCATTAAGCCATCTGACTTTAAATAATTCATTGTTTATTTCTTGTATGAAGATCACCAGATACAGTTTTATATCTGTTTGAAATTACCTCTCAGAACCTCGGTGGATGCGGTGGGGAGAGGTATGGGAAGTGGAGTGATTGGGGGGCAGACTGGGAGGGGGATGGAGTCTAGATTATAAAAAAAGGATTAAAGAATTAAAATCAAAATAATAATAATATTAAAAGAAATTACTTTTCCTTTTAGTTCTCATGGTTTCTTTATAAGATTATGGTTCTGTTGTTTATAGTGATATAGTTGCTTCATATGTAAATTTTAATAATGAAGTTTCATCTTTTAGTTAGGATTGAATTTGGTTTGGTACATGAAAGCTACTTTAAATATAGCATGATATGTATCCAAATGTCAGAAGCTGCTCAGATAAAGAATGACACATGATAACAGCCATTTGTCATGGATGTCACTGTGCTGCTTAATGCTTGTCTGATCAAATGGCATATGGAAATCACTTAGAAGACTAAGTTTTAAAAATCAAAAATTCTCAAGGCTTTTGTTTGAGTAACATACATTATTAGGTATTTGAAGTCCTCAGCACTTTTTTTTATGAGTTTTCTTCAAAAAGTCCCATGGCATCTCTACGAGATGTGACACAGTGTGAAAAATGAAGCTAGAATTAGCTTCACATGTATACAGATTGTTCCAGGGTGATAATTACATTTTTTCACTTTGAATTTTCCTAATTCAAAGAGGTCAACTTGGTAATCACAAAAGTGATTTGTTTTGTTAAGAAGTGAACTGTCTTTTTCTACATGAAAGCTGAGGATATATGAAATTGAATTTCAAGGGGACATTTTGCAGATACTGGGTGGGGCTGTCTTGAGTTTGATTGATAATTATTTTTAGTGTGAGATAGGGTGGGAAGTAAAGAGCTACCATCTTGCTAAATTTTTAATTATTTTTTTAAGAGGAGATGGAAAGGATTGAGTGCCAAAGATCAAAAGATCAGGTCAAAAACTCCTTTTTAATCACATAAATAATGGGATATGCTTATGAACTTAACATCTGCAAATTTGATTTAGAACTTTACAAATTAGTTGGTGTTAATTTCATGGCAGTCAGCTATACTGATTATTTTTCTTGAGTCTGTTCACAACGTATTTTCTTTTAAAAATTGAAAAGCAAGGTGTTTAACCATACTTTAATACAAAATATATTTACAGTGCAAATTAAAGATCCGATCATATGTGATCTGCTGTTAATAGAGAAAATGTATCACTATAAAACCCTTTAAGGGTTGGCCAATCCATTTCTTACTCTTTCCTCGTCACTAGTTGATTAAGCATGATTTCTTAGTTTATCCTATTTAAAACATCTAGGCTGTGTTAAGAGAGTTGGAAATCTCTTACTATTCACTATTTTGCTTTTGAGTAAAATTTGTTAATTTATGTATTGCATTTCATATAAGGTAAGTACTAGGTAAACTCTAAATATTGATCTTTTTTTTCTTAAAATTAATTTCTTTCAGTGCTGTGGAATACATCTTGGGCCTTGCACTTATTAGGCAAATGCTCTGCCAAAGAGCCACATCCTTAGCCCAAGTTGCTTTCCTTAAAATGTAACTACATTCAGTATTTCCTGACACACAAAAAAAGTTGAGAAAAATTTTCAGCTATACTTCAAATTCAATTTGTAAAAAAAAGGCAAACAACTTATTAATGCCATCCTTTGTCGTGCTTGTGTATACACCTGTTTAAATGATTTTAAAGAAAATATTAAGTGTTTCAAGTAATATTACTTCAGTGCTGTATAAAGTGCTTGTATCTTCCTCATTTGACATTAATATCATTTTTGAAAGAACTGACATTGCATTCTAGGCCACTTTATAAAAGTGTTGTGTTGCTCATCCTAATTCAGTCTGACATACATTCCAATAACACTACCTCCCTTCGTGGGTTTAAAGCTAAATTTATGACTGTGCATTGTGAAGTGCATCATTTAAAAATGGTTTCAACCCAAAACATCTAATAAATAAATAATGTGTATGGCTACTCAGTAGTAGACTTTCTAGACTAGAAATCATTCCATCGGATACTCAACAGTCCACTATCGGAGAGGGCTGTCAGATAAATCTTGTGGTAGCGGCATTCATGTCCTGTAAATCACATATTATTGTCTGAGCCTTCTGCCAGGTCATCTATTCTTTTCCCATTTATCAGAAATGCATACAGTCTATAGAAAAACTAACCAGCACCGTGTAGTCTGCCTTGGCATCCTGTCTGAGTTATCAATTAACAGCAAAAGTTTATTTAAATGTTTAGCCTTATCTTATTAAAAAATACATCAACATTATTAATATTTTTGGAAATACTTTCTTCACATGAAGGTACTGATAGGGTTGGTGATTTTTTTCACTTGAGTTTGCTGTGTCTTTGAATTGGCATTTAACAACTGCAGATAGTCGCATAGACACATAGCAGTCAGCATCCTTTTCTTTTTAAAGCTGGTTTTATGTTGGTGTGTGTGTGTGTGTGTGTGTGTGTGTGTATGATCCTAAACTAAACTTTACCTAAAGATGATGTTTATCTGAATATAGAAAAATTTTATTAAATGTTTGTTGAATAAGTGAGGAATATTATAGCCCGCCTTTCTTTCTTTCTTTCTTTCTTTCTTTCTTTCTTTCTTTCTTTCTTTCTTTCTTTCTTTCTTTCTTTCTTTCTTTCTTCCCTCCCTCCCTCCCTCCCTCCCTCCCTCCCTCCCTCCTTCCTTTCTTCTTTCCTTTCTTCTTTCCCTCCCTTCCTCCCTCCCTCCCTCCCTCCCTCCCTCCCTCCTTCCTTCCTTCTTTCCTT